TCCAAGCTCTTGTTCAGTTCTTCTACATCTTTGCTATTTTTTTGTCTGCTTGACCTATCTTTTTGGGATAAAGGGGTGTAAAGGTCTCCTGTTAAGATTGTGGTATTGGATATTAGACTTTTCATGTCCATTAAGATTTGTCTTATATAATTAGGTGCTCTCATGTTTTGTGTGTTCATATTCATGAGTGTTACCTCTTCCTCTTAAATTTTTCCCCTAGCCAGTATATAGTGGCCTTCTTTATTTCATTTGATTATTCTTGATTTGAAGTTGAGATTGTCTGAGAACATGATTACTACTCCTGCTTTTTGCTGAGGTCCTGATGCATGCAGTATTGTTTTCTATCCTTTGACTTTCAGCCTACGAATTTCTTTATGAGTTAAGTGTGTTTCTTGTATACAGCATATTGTTGGATTTTGTTTCATAATCCACTGTGCCAGTCTGTTTCTTTTAATTGGTGAATTCAGTCCATTTACATTGATGGTTACGATTGAGATGTATTGACTTATGATTGACATGTTATTTACCTGTTGTCGTTTACTCCTTTTTCTCCTGTGTTTAATTGTTTGTTCTATTTAATGGGTTCCTTCTGTTCTCATTCGTGAAGGTCTGATCATTTTGGTCCTTGTCTAAAACATCTTTTAGTACTCTGTGTAGGGTTGGCTTTGTCACCATGAAATTCTTTTGTTGTTCTTTGTCATGGAAGACAAAGAATTTTCTACATCTTTGTAGAAAATATTTCACTTTGTAGACAAATATTTCACTCCTCCATCAGACTTGAAAGAGTTTTGCAGGGTATAGTAGTCTGGGCTTGAATTTGTTTTCATAGAGAACTTGAAGTATTCTGCTCCATGTTCTTCTTGCCTTCATGGTTTGTGAAGAGAAGTGTGCCATTACCCTGATGGGTTTTCCTTTAAATGTGATCTGTTTCTTGTCTTTAGAGGCTTTCAGTATATTGTTCTTGTGCTGAATTTCTGGGATTCATTTATATGTCTCGGTATGTTTCTAATTGGGTTGATGTTATTTGGAGTTCTGCATGCTTCAATTAGTGAGTATCAGATTGTTTCCTCATATTTGGGAAGTTTTCTGCTATTATTTCTGCCCATATTCTTTTTATATCATTTGCATTGACTCCTTCTTTCTCATTGATGCCTATTAGTCTCACATTGTTCATCTTTGCATCATCTTGCAGGTGATGAATTATGTTTTCCTGCATCCTGGTTGTTTTTAAGAGAGCTTTTCTTACTTTTTCACTAGCTGCAACAGCGTCTTTAAGATCTAAAACTCTATCTTCACTTTCACTCAAATGGTTTTGCAAGCTTGTGATTGCGATTTTAAGTTCTTCTATGCTTCTTTGACTTTGCTTCATGCAATCAATTTCTTTCCTGTATTGCTCATTGAAGGAATCAGTCATTTTTCTAATCTCCTCTATTTTTTATCAGTGATTTCTTGAGGAGCAGTTATTAATTCTTTTACTACAGAGATTTTTTTCAGATTGGGTTTCCTCTATATGTTTCTGCATGAGATGGCACTGTTGTCATAGTGGGGCTCTGTAAATTACTTCTGTTTCCAGAGGAAAGTTTCAGCAAATGTTGTGTGGTTCACTGTATACAGGAAAAGTCATTGGAGTGCCCTGATTCCCCAAGCACCTGGAGCTTAGTTGCCCTTTCTTGGTTAAGACCTCTCTCTTGGAAACAAATCATGGAACAAAATCCATCAGCTCTTATTAGTGAACTGGAGGATTAAAACGTGTTACTGCCTCGATTCTCTTAGGAATGAAAGGAAGAGAAAGAATCCTTCTCCAGTTTCTCTACACAATGAACTGGAAAAGTACATACTTGAGATATGCATTTTCTTAGGAGACTGCATAAGTTTTCCTTCTTGTCATAGTGGGGTTCTGAATTACTTCAGTTTCCAAAGTGAATTTTTAGCCAAAGTTCTTGTTTCACTGTACGTGAGAGCAGGCATTGCAATGCCCTGCTTCCCAAAGCAGCTGGAGCTTAGCTGGACCTTCTCTGTTAAGAACTCCATTAGAAACACAAGTCATGCAAGTTAAATAAGTAAATAATGTTTTCCACTAATACCATTTTAGGTTCTTTTGTAAATTAATAGTTTTGCTGTATGTTCTGTGCTGGTTTTGTGTTGATATATGCTCATTCTCACTGTTCTAAAAGTTTGTAGTTTTGCTTTAGTTACCTTTAGTATAAACTGTACTCTTCCACGTTTAGGTAAGTCTGTCTACTGTATAATAAGAAATTATTATATGAGCACATTTGTACTTTTTTATCCTGGTCTTCCATATCTGACACCAACCTAAGTGGATATCTAAGAGAAGCAAGTTCCACACTGCAGGGATGGCTAGGTAGAGGCCTGCAGTAGATAAGCCTTTATTTGCTTGTGTGTTGGAGAAGAGCAAGAAGGCCTCTGGGGTAGATGCATAGCAGTGAAGTGCGTAGGGGAGAATGGGATCAAAATTGTCAACAGTACAATGTTCACCAAGTCTAGGAGCTGGCTCTTCTCTAGGATTAAGCACTTTGCAGGGTGTTGGGCAGGAGGTTGACCTCTGATTTCTATGCATCCGAGACCTCTGGGCATAGACTAAATCAGTAGAAACATGAAACGCATAAGCCAGCAAGTCATCTAGGAGACTGTTGCAAGAATCCAAATGAAGCAAACCACAGTGGCTTTTCCTAGGATGGAGTGGTAGAGAATGGATGAGGTACAAGATATATTTCAAAGCCTAATATGAGAAATCAACAAATTTGCCATGAGTTGAATATAGTCTGTGAGAGAAAGGAAAGAATTATGGCAGAGCTTTTGACCTGAGCACTTGCTAGGATGTTGTCCAAATCTCTGTAAAAAA